TGCTTAACGACTGAGCCACTCAGGTGCCCCGGGATAGAAAATCTTTAATCAGTCACTCCTCATAACCCCAGTGCAGCTCTTTCTACCCCTGGGTCCTGCCTCCAGGCTTTAATAAAACCCACCTTTTTGCCCCAAAGATGTCTCAAGAATTCTTTCTTGGCCATTGGCTCCAAACCCCAACACTCCAAGCCATATCATCCCCATTTCCTTTTTATATTCAAGTCCTGGGCATAGTAGTCATTTCCTGCTGCTGCTGGCCTTTGGGCTCCCTCACCGTTCTCTGTTGGCTTCTTGACTCCTCTGTCACCTCTGACACCCAATTCCCTGAACTAACTTCTTATTTCAAATCCCTTTCATAAGCCATCTTACTCAGTGTTTTCAGATTAGATCATGATTGATACACCTGAATTGAAAAGCATCCAGAACTGTAAATTGACAAATTATGATGCTGTCTCTACTTCTTTCCCCAAGACTAATTGGTTCATTATTTGGAATCAGCATATAAAAGTATTGGCTGTGCCTGGCTCACTTAAATGAAATGTAAGATTGTCCTGATTCTTTTTTTTTTTTTTTTTAGATTTTATTTATTTATTTGCTAGAGAGAGCATAGGCGAGAGAGAGTGAGTGAGAGTACAAGCAGGGGGAGCTGCAGGCAGAGGGAGAAGCAGGCTCCCTGCTGAGCAAGGAGCCCGACGTGGGACTCAATCCCAGGACCTGAGCTGAAGGCAGCCGCTTAACCGACTGAGCCACCCAGGCGTCCCAGACTGTCCTGATTCTAACACATCTTTACTCACCAGTGTCTCTCAACCAATGAAGGCAGAGATATTATTTAAAGAAACTACCAATTAACCCTGAAAAGAAGTGTTTAAACAACAAAAAGATTACTGTCCAATAATAATGTCTGTGCATATTATCTCATTCAGGAGACTACAGCTATAATATCTATTCCTTCCCCATTAAAGCTGAATACAAATTAAATATGGCTTTGATGAGATGGTTAACTCAGAGAGATGAAATCTTAATAAATATCAAAAAGTTATTTCCTGCCCCAAAAATAGAACCCAAATTTCTATCAGCTGATAAATGTATAAATAAAATGGACACCCAAAATGTATACAATGGAAAATTATTCAGCAATAAAAAGGAATGAAGTTCTGATACATGCTACACCATGGATGACCCTGGAAAACAGTGTGCTATGTGAAAAAAGCCAATCACAAAGAATCGTGTGTCATATGATTCCATGTACATGAAAAGTCCAAAATAGGCAAATCTATCAGAAGGTAGATTAGTGGTTGCTTTGGGCTTGGGCTCGGGGATGGGGGAGATGGGGTAGGTGAATTGGGCCTGATGACTAAAAGATGTGGGGTTTCATTTTGGGGTAATGACAATATTCTAACATTGATTGTGGTGATGATTGTGCAACACTGACTATAATAAAAACCACTGAACTGTACACAACTTTAAATGGGTGAATTTTATGCTAGTGAATTATTTCTCAATAAAGTTATTTTTAAAAAGTCACCTCCTCCTAGAAGACTTCCTCTCTGCCCGGACTCCCCAATAGCTCCCTCCCCTAAATTCTTTCAGTTCTGCTTTTATCAGCTCTGCATTTATGGGAAGCATTGTGGGAAGGGATTACCATTTATCAGTTGCTGTGTAAGAAACCATTCCCAAAACTTAGTGGCATAAATCTCTCACTCATAAATCTACAGTTTGAGCATGGTTCCACAGGGAAGGCTCATCTCTTTTCCGTGGTGTCAGTCAGGGTCAGTCACCATTTGGATGAATTCTTACCCAAAATGCCTCACTCACATGGCTGACAAGTTGGTGCTGGCTGTTGGCTGGGAGCTCACTTGGCGCTGGGGGTAGAGAGGACTTCTCTGTTTTGGTTAAAATAAATATGGATAAAGGCTAGGTTCTGAAGGATATTTGTGAGGGGGAGCCAGGAGGAAGCTGCAGTGCCTTTTAATGGCATAGTCTTGGGAGGTAGATAATGTCCTTTCCACTGTTGAGGGGACCCCAAAGTCCTGTGCAGTTTCAAAGAGAGCTGAATAGACTCCACTCTGCATGGGGGAGTGGCCAAGTTCTGGAAGAGGGTAGAGGACTGGAAATTATTGTTTTGGTCATTTTTGGAAAATACAGCTTGACACAGGTGTACTTGTCTGGTGTACCATTTAGAATATATCCACCTCCAAGCAACAGAAAAAAAAACAACTAAATGGCGGCTTAAGGCCCCATGACATTTGTTGTTTATTAATAAGTAGCCCAGAAGTCAGTCCTCCCAGGGTTGATTCAGGGGCTTGCCAATGTCAGTTTCATCTTTCCCCTCCCGCCCTCCTAGCACATTGGTTTTTCATACCTGTGCTTATTGCCTCACAATTGCAAAATGACTACCACATGTCCAGGTGAATATCCTTAACCCAACAGTACCCAAATCATAAAGAGAGCAAAAGAAAAAGTTATTTTGCAGTCCTGTACCTCTTATCTGGGAGGAAGAACTTTCCCATAAGGACCCAGCAGACATCCTGTAACTCATTGGGCAAATCACAGGCATGTCCACCCCTGACAGATCACTGGCAAAATAGAGTGAGATTATTGTGATTGGTTTAAAGAAATCCTGATTCATTCCCTGGACCAGGAGAATTCAGACTTCTGGAAGCAAAGATGGAAGCTGTTGAGTAGATAACCAGCAGTGTATGTGCCTGGTCAGGTTTCCCCACCACACTAAGTGTTCATTCTTTCCTTGTGTAGGGCCTGTGCTGGACTGAGGGGATTCAGATGGAACAGCAACTCAGAAAGTTTATAGTCTGGTTGGGTTGGGTTTACACAAATAATTATAACTAAATTCCTGAGGGCAGGGACCAGGTGTTTGTCAACAGACCTTAGAACGGCATGTTTGGTGCCAGATCCGGTTAGGTCTTGTGGAGACAAAAATAAAGACCTATTTCCTGCCTTTAAAGACCTCACAGTCCTTGAGAAAAACTATAAACTGACAATCACAGAGTGATAAGTGCTAAATGAGGGATAAACCTTGGGAGCAATAGGAACGGAGGAGGGACAAGGTGAAAGACGTGAGGAGTCAAGAAAGGCTTTCAGAAAGGATGGTTGAGTTGATTATAGGTGGAGTCAGGATCAGGCAAGAGGAAGTGTTTGGAAAAGAACTGCAGGAGAGGGGCACATAAGCCAAGGTCAGGAAGCAAGAGAAACAGCTTCATGTGCGCAGGGGACAACAAGCAATTAAAAACACTGGCACATCAAGTGGGACATAGAGTTAAGTCAAAGGACGCTGAAGATAGGCTGAAGTTTCCCTCAGCGAAAGATCCTCATGAACCTATCAGTGCATTCATTTATTAAATCGACATCTACAGAGCACTAGGTACCAGTTAGTTTCCAGCCTCAGTGCCTTTGCACTTGCTATCTCTCGGTCTGGAATAGCACTCCCTAAATTTTCTCAGGCTTCTTCAGCTCAATTAGTCACCCAGAGACGCCTACCACTCCCTTACCTAAAATAGTCCCCATGTGGTCATTTTCCATTACATCACTGTTTTGTTTTTCTTCTAGCATTAATCACATTATGAGATTATCGTCTTCGTTTGCTCAAGAGTTAACAGCCTGTCGATTCCCACCAGAATGTAAGCCCCTCGCGAGCGGGGACCCGGCCTCTTTCATTGTTTCACCCAGAGTTTTAGCATCCCCAGGTTCTCAACCTACCTCCAAGGATCCTAACGCGCCTCGCTAGGTAAGTCCCGACCCGAGCATGCGCAGAAGGCCCCTGGCGCGCGCAGCTCTGGCCCCGCCCCGTGCGTCCCGCCCCCTCCCGGGGTGGTGGGCCGTCGGACTCACGTCCTCGCCAGGCGGTGTTCCAGCTCGGACGCTGTTGCGCACGCCTCCGCGCGGTAACGGACGCGCTCCCCGGTGCGCCGGCCCGGCCCGGGATGGTTCCCAAGCTCGCAGACTCCGTGGACGGGCTCCGCGCCGCCGGCAACCAGAGCTTCCGCAACGGCCAGTTCGCCGAGGCCACGGTGCTCTACAGCCGCGCGCTGCGGATGCTGCAGGCGCAAGGTACGACCCTGGCCGCCGTTTCCCCGCCAGGCCGGCCACTCACTCCGGGGTCCCCCGCCGCGGCCGCCCAGACCTCGCTCCTGCCCGGGGTGCTTGCGACTTGATTTCCCCGCGGCTAGCTGGCTCACCAGGCCCACCGGGCACCCTTCCCGCCCATTCCCCCCTTTGGCATCCTACGAGAAACTTCCTTGGCCCTCTCTGCCCCCCTCTTTTTTAAAATTGTAATACGGTTTTATTACTGGTTCTTTTTCACTTACTGGCATATCAAAAACATATTTCCATATTAATGGGTGTTTTATCACATTTTTTTATATCGGTAAAAAAAACCCAAAAAAACCCACAGCATTAAATTCACCGTCTTAACCATTTTTTAAGTGAAGTATTTACATTCACGTTGTTGTGCAACAGATCGCTAGAACTTTTTCATCTGCAGCAGTGAAACTCTGTACCCACTAAACACTGATCTTCCTTCCCTCCCCTCAGCCCTTGGTTTCCACCCTTCTACTTTGTGTAGCTATGATTTTGACTAGTTTAGATAGTTCAGATAAGTGAAGTCATACGGTATTTTGCTTTTGTGACTGATTTCACTTAGCGTAATGGTCCTGAGGACATTATAATCCATGTTGTAGCAATGTGACAGATGTTTTCCTTCTTTTTTAAGGCTGCATTATTTTCCATTGTATGGATATACCACGCTTTCTTTATCCAGATGTAAACAAGGCCTGTCTGATAAGGATCAGGGCTGCAAAGAAGACAAATACAGTGATGTGGTAAGAGAGGTGACTGGGGAGCTCCTTTGGAGTGGAAGGTCAAGGACAACTTTGAAGAAGAAGTGACCTTTGAAGTGACATCTGAATGATGAGAAGAAGCCAAGTGCACACAGTTTTGGGTGCTGAGCATTCCAGGTGGAGGGAACTGTTCATTCCACGGGCCCCCAGACAGAGTAAGCGTGGTGTGTTGCAGGAGCCAGACCATAGTGAGCCAGTGGGGAATTGTAAGTATTGAGGGCAGTTAGATAGGCAGAGCCCTATTGTGTAGGCATTTTACGCGGTAGGCTGTGGTAGGGAGTTTGGATTTTATTCCCTGATGGGAAGCTACTGGGGAGTTTTATTTTAAAAAGAGGAGCACCATGTCCTTTATCAGTTCTCCCAGTGTCCAGCTCCTGGGTAAGACACTTTGGAGAAGAGGTAAGCCTCATTCTAATCAGCCCGTTGCCCCAAACCTCTCCTCCAAAGTGTCTTACCCGTGCGCCCTCATTTTCTGTAGTACCTATTTCCCTTTGCCTTCTCTTCTTGGCTAGCATTTGTTGAGTGCTTTTCTGTGTGCTAGGCACTGCAGACCTCATTCTTTTTTATCTTCTTACAAACCTACAGATAAGACTGTTTATGGACGAGGAGTCCAGAAGAGTTCAATTTGTCTACACTGGGTTATACAATGAAGACATATCAGAGGCAGGATTTGAATGCGCGTCTGACTGATTTGCAAGTCCAAGTTTTGAGTCATTTTGCTAGGCTTCTCCCCACATCCTCTCCAAATTCCAGTCTGTCTTATTTGAACTTCTGCAATTTCAAGCCCCTCTTTTGCCCCCTCTTGTTTTTCTAGAACACTCCTCTTTAGGCCCGCCTCCTCATCTCAGCCTCACTTGATGAAGTCACTGACGAATCTGAGATATTGATATTACTGCCTTTTTCTTTCATCCTACCCCAGCTGGTCTGGAAAAGCATGTGCTTTTGTATGGATTTATTCTGGATCCTTAGAAGGGCTGGCCTGGGGTCTAGACTTAGTAGGGGAACAGCATTTGGTTCTGCTCTTGCTGTTAATTTTCCAGATGATTTCTGGGCAAATCCCTTGATTTCTCTGATCACTTTTGCTGACCTTGAAAGGACGGCAGGGAACAAGCTAACAAAATGAACCCTTCCAGCAAGTCTGTGAAGTGATATGTTCATGTGATAGGGGAGCACACGCGATCAGAGGGATTGAGTGACTCGTGCGGGCTCACGGGCAGGATCCTCAGTTCCTCCGCTGCCCTTCCCACCGCACCTCTGCTACTTGAGACTTGATATGGACTACGAGTTTTGAGTACTTGTGCTTGTTCCTCAAGGGCAAGGATATATTTTACTTTTTTCCTGTACTTTGATGTCTCACTCAGGGCCTGGCAAAATAAGGGGGAAAGTTCTTATTTTATTAGTTTGTTATTGTTGATACTGAATGAACGCCATCATGCCTCAATATGGTAACATACTTAGTGAAAAAAGAGTAAGTTGCGGAAGGATAGGGAGTAGGGTGCCACTCAGTTTCGGAAAGCTTTGAAAGATATAAAATGGTATATTCTCTTCCCTGTGAATGCATATGTAATAGAAGTGGGCAAACATGCATACGGGAGGATGTTACCTACCAACTTCAAGACTGTGCTGACATCTGGAGGTCTGGGCAGGAAGCAAAGGGAAAAGGGTGAGGATGAGTGGAACTTTAGCCATCTCGAAAATGAAAAAGGTTGGAAACAAATACAATGTATGCCAAGTCCAATGATGGATGTCAAGCATCTGTTTTACTGTTTTCTGAATGTTTTGTAATTTTCAGAAGAGAGTTTGTTTTACTTCTTTGGGGTATATACCCAGGAGTGGAATTACGGAGTCAACACTTAATAATTTTTGGGGTGTTTTGTTTGTTTGCTTTCCGTTATGGCTTATGCTAGTGGGTATGAAGTGGTTGAAAAATTACTTTTTTAAAGATTTTAGTTACCTATTTGAGAGAGTGGGAGGAGAGCACGGGAGGGGCGAGTGTCAGAGGGAGAAGCCGACTCCCTGCTGAGTGGCGAGCCCGACGAGGGCTCGATCCTGGGACTCCGGGATCATGACCTGAGCCGATGGCAGACACTTAACCAACTGAGCCACCCAGGTGCCCCGAAAAATTATTTTTAAAATTGAAAGTCATTGTGGCTACACAGTAAAAGACATGGGCTTTTGCGATTCCTGAGGATAAGGATTGCCTTTAGAGAAGTGTCTGATAATTCTCCTCCACACTGGGTCGCTTGAATCCTTCCTCTGATTAAGTTCTGCATAGCACTGCCAGACCCAGAGGACTCTTCCCTGGCAAAATCCTTTCTGATTTGACCAGGTAGGATTAGTCTCTTTCTCAGAGTGAAGGAGACTTCAGTCTCCTTATCACATTTTTCTTTTCCTTTTTCAGGAACCCCTCTTAATTGGGTTTACATGCTTTTTGTAACAAAATTCACACACGTGCACGCGCGCACACACACACATAGTTACAGCATGGATCTCCTTGAGCAGAAGCCAGCTGGTTCATGTTTTGTCTTTTGCCTGGTCCTAGCTTCAGTGCTGGAGTGAGTGGAGAAGGTGTTTGGTTCCCTGTGAGTGGCGGGAAGCTTGCTGCTCTCACTCCCATGTGAGAATGACAAACCTGGCAGCCCAACGAGCCTGAGTGGGAAGCCCAGAGAGCTCCGGGTATGAAATACACCCCAGAGTCCCGGGGCATCCATTTCCCACCCTGTTAATCTCGTACTTTCTGCTTCCCCCTGGCCAGGTTGTTCGAACCCCGAAGAAGAAAGTATCCTCTTCTCTAACCGCGCAGCCTGCCACTTGAAGGATGGCAACTGCAGGGACTGCATCAAAGACTGCACTTCGTAAGTGGGCGGGGGCGACCTCCGGGGCCTCAGGGTCCCCGGAGGGGAAGCTGTGTTCATCTGGCCTGTTCTCTTCTTGGGGTCGATCCCAGCAGTTAACAGCTGTGTCAGATAATGAGGTCGTGTTCCTAAGTGTCACCAGCTCACCGAGGATAGGAGGCTCTACTTGGTGCTTACGGCCCCTGACTTGTGTCTTTGGAGTCTGCCAAAAGAGCAGGAGTCAGGTGGGGACTTAGAGGTGGGCCTTATGGGCCTTGTAAGATCGGGGACCTGAGGATGAGGGTGAGTTGCAGGCTAGTGACTGGCTCGCCCCGGTGTTTTCTGGGGTGGATGTGTGTGAGAGGGAAAGAAAGAGGGACCGAGGTTAGTGAATTGCCGCAAAACAAGCAAGGAGAAGAAGTTATCCATCGATGACCTGTTGTAACAGGTGTTCAACGGTTTGTCATACTTCTTTCTTCTGCAAGCCAGTCTGACACCGCCTTCTCTCCTCCTCACTGAGCTGACACACGTCTGCAGCATCGCCTTAGGTTTGTGCCCTGGTGGTAGCTGAGGGAGGAGGAGAGGGAGCGGGCTCGTGGGGCCTGTGCTCAGTGGCTCCGTACCAGGCCCGTGCTAGGTTTCCTCCCCAGAGGGCTCATGACCGCCCTGCGGGGTAAGTTTACCGTCCCGCCCAGGCTAGAAGTGGGTTGCAGCCAATTGAGGCCATAAGGTGATCTGCCTGGGGTCCCGTGGCTGGTGGCAGAGGTAGAATTCAAACACCACTCCATCTGACTGCGGAGCCTGTTTCTCCCACCGGGTCGGACTCTATAGAAACACATGGAAGAATGAAAGCTACAGGCGCTTGTTCTTGATCTGGGGGGGTTGCGACTCGAAAATTGGTGCACGAGCACACAGATTTCACAGTCTTAGTGGTTTTCTGCTCATCATACCTTCTCCACTTTGGTCAAAGATAGAAAGTCCCTCTGCCAAGGCCTGACATTTTTAGCAGCGTCTCTGTGCCAGATATGACCTGTACACTGAATGCTGTGGATGACGCTTCCTAGAAGGAGCTGCGGGGGGCGGGGCGGGGGGTGACTCAGCAGCCGGTGACATTTCTTCCTCTGGCTCTAGAGCACTGGCCCTGATGCCCTTCAGCATGAAGCCCCTGCTGCGGCGGGCATCGGCCTACGAGGCCCTGGAGAAGTACCCCCTGGCCTATGTGGACTACAGGACTGTGCTGCAGATTGATGACCGTGTGGCGTCGGCCCTGGACGGCATCAGCCGGTGAGCCTGACTCTGCAGACGGTCTCTCTGGACTCACTCGGGACCATGGCTTTGGTCATCTCTTGGGGGTCCCCCGAGGCCTACTGAGCACGTGGGGAAAGTGCAGGAGGACAGTCCGCTGTTGTGGTTAGCGGGGGCCTGAGGGGTCAGAGTGAGGGGACTGATGGATCGATGGCCCAGCTGCTCCCGATTCCTTACCGGGGTAATAAGGTATTGAGCTCTGTGTAAGGGATTGTTCCAGGTGCCCTGGGGAAGACCCCACTTGCTTCACAGACCTAACTAGAGCGGGGAGAGTGGGACACAGGTGCAGGCAGCCGGGACACGAGGCTATAGGCTGGTGTTTGCAGGGACGCGTCGGCCTGTGGTACTGTGACCCCTTCACAAGGCTCATCAGGCGCCATTTTGTTCTGAGTTTCTGAGTGGTGCTTTGTTTCCGCCTCGTGGCTGCCCTCGTTTGTGTACTGATCGTGTTTCCCCTCTTTGCATGGGCTGCTAGAAAGCCAAACGCTACACTCACAGCAAACCCTTCACAGGACTTCGTGGCGCGTGTTTAGTGTATCATTTTTAGCTTGACTGGTTTTCTCTCTGCCTCCTTTTACTTTCAGTCATTCAACAGAATCTGGCACTTCTGTGTGCCCGACTTTGCACTAGGGCCTGGGCTGATGCCTGACACATAGCTCTTCCTGCCCTAACGGAACCCCCGGTCTCGTGGGGAGCCCCAGTCAGTCACAGCCACGCGCACCACAGTGTGGTGAGTGCTGCGGTAGGAGGCGGCCCAGGGGGCTGAGGGGGCAGAAAGGGGCACCCAGCCCGCCCGGGGGGAAGGAGGAAGCCAGTTAGGACTTCCCAGAGGAGGTGAGCTGAGGCTGAGAAACGAAGAGATCTGGGGCTAGCACAGCAGGAAGGACAGCTATGCAGGGTGAGCCGGGGTGATGTGTTCCAGGAATTGTGAGAAGTCCCATGTCGCTTGGCACTGCGGGCGAGGAGCTCAGCTCGGACGTGTGAGGTGAGGCCCGACCACACAGGGCCCGGACCTAATCCAGGCACGGTGAGGCTTTGTGAAAGGGTCTTCAGCGGGGGGGGCAGTGTGAGCAGATTTGAGAGAGAAGCTCACTGGCTGCCGTGTTGCAGGATGACGTGAAGGAGAGCAGAGTCGGAAGGGCTGGGCGGGAACTCAGATGGTGGAGATGCTGGAAAGAGGACAGTGGGACCAGTTCTGGGGACAGTTAGGTAGTAGTTTGATGAATCTGGGTGTTGGGGGTGGTGAGAAGGGAAAAATAGGAGAAACATCCTGGTGGCTGACATGTTGAGTTGGAGGGGACCATGAGACAAGAGACATGAGGACAGTGGTTGGTATTTACGTGGGTTTTGGAGCAAAAAGAGACAAATACAAGGCAGACCTATGGATTCGAAGGTCATCAGCATAGAGGTGGGTTGAGGTTGTGGGAGGAAAAAAGACCCCCACAACAAGTGAGCCAGGGGAAGAGGATGGTGCTTAGAAAACTGCAACATTTGAGGGACTTCGGGGGAACAGCGGCCGGAGGGGAGGAGGAAACTCGGAGCCTTTAGGGAAGAAGTATTTCCAGAAGGATGAAAACCTCACTCCCATCAGGTGTTGCGATGAGTTAGTGGACTTCTGAGTTTAAGAAAGAGAGTCACTGGTGGTTGTGACGGAAGCATGCAGCGGGTCAGAAGCCCGGGTGGCAGGGGGTTCGAGAAGCCTGGCCGTGAAGAGGCAGAGGAGTCCAGCTGCGATGGCAGAGTGGGGTCTCCAGGGGGGTCTTACTAAGTGAGGAAACGGTTCAGTGCGGCCACTTGGAGTCGGTAGAGAGAAAGGCTGAAGCTAGAGGAGAGCTGCTGGTGGTGGTTCCTGACAGAGGCAGGACGAGGTGAGACCCAGAGCTGAGGCGGAGAGACTGGCCTCGTCACTTCTTCATCTGTGACAGGAGAGACCTAGGAAGGATTCGGTGCCCACGCAGGTGGGTTTGCATTTGTGGGACCTGGAAGTTTGCCCTGAAAAAGGAGGAGGGTAAGGGAGCCGGGCTGAGGAGGGTAGAGGTTTGAAATAGCTGTGCCAGTCAGAAAAACAGCTGTGAGGGCTTAGTCAGAGGCGGTGAGTTTGTAGCGATCGCCACCTGGGACGCCGTCCTTCTAGTCGCATGGAGCGCCGTGGTTGGGGCAGAAAAAGCATACAGTTGGCTTTATTCACTGATCGAGCACATGCTTACTGGGCCCGGGTGGGTATCAGGTGATGTGCTAGGTGCTGGAGATTTCTTAGCCAAACGGACGTGGTCCCTGAGCAACATTTGAAGCAAGTTAGCTGGGCCCAGAAGGGGGGGATGGAGAGTGAAGAGATCATTCCAGGTAGAGGGAAAAGCATGGGCAAAGGCTGGAACATACGGATCAAGAGGGAATGCGGCTCCTGGTAAAAGTGGAGCGGGGGGGGGGGGGGGGCACACCAGATCTCGGGCCCTGTCAGCCTAGGGAAGTGGGAACCGCTGGAGGAGTTCAAAATTTGAGAATGACACAGGATTTGTATTTTATAAAGATCTCTGAGCATTAATCAAAGGTCAGGTGCTTGCCTGGCCTTTTAATAGATCCACTGAGAAAATATAAGATATGTGATCCTTTCTTGGGGGCATGTGTGGTCCTTTGGGGGTAAGGTTTAAGTACCCTTAACAAGCAGCCATCCCCACTTCGGGCTTAACAGAGTGTGGCCAAGTGACGGCCAGGCGGGGCACGAGTGTCATGGTGGCAGACATCTCTTCCTTTCCTGCTGTGTGTCAGAAGGTTGTAGAGGGATGGTGGCTCTCTCTACCCCCTCTGGATTTATGAGAGGGGGAGTATCTTCTTGACCCAGCTGGAAACCTCCCTGTAATTCTGTCTGCCTTTCCAGAATGACCAGAGCTCTCGTGGACTCGCTGGGGCCCGAGTGGCGCCTGAAGCTGCCTTCTATCCCCTTGGTGCCTGTCACAGCTCAGAAGAGGTGGGATTCCGTGCCTTTGGAGTACCACAAAGAGAAGGCTAAGAGAAAATTCAGAGAAACCACAACTTCCAAGGGCAGAGGTAAGCTGTGACTTCCTGCCCAGAGTGTTAACAGTCTCCCCATGGCCACTTCCTTTAGAGTCATCCTGTAAAAATTGGCCTTGCTTAAGCTGAGCTCTAAAAATTATCTGTGAAACAGTAAGTCTTCACCTCTTAGAGTCTTCTCAATTCTTTCCTGAGGGCGATGCGAAAGTCCTCCCACCACTGTCTGGATTCAGAGATAGAGAAGGCACGTTGGACGCTCAGTGTGGCTCATAGGTATACAGCTTTAGTTCCCTTCTCTTTTCTCTGGCAGTGGTGGGGATGGATGAGCTAGGATGGTTTAGAAAACTCAACACTTTGGTAAAAATAACAAAGAGAACGTATTGGCTCATGTAACTGAAAGTTCCGAGTTCAGGTTCAGGCAAGGTTTGCTCCAGCAGCTCACTACATTATCAGACTCGGACTCCATTCCTCAGTACTCCTCTCAGCTCTCTTCTCTGGTGTGTCTGCTTTGTCTTGGGGCAGTCTTCCCTCCCAGTGGTAAAACAGCTATAAAGTAGTTCCTGGCCTCGTCTCCTTAGGCCATGCCTCATGGCCCAGAGGAAGAGAAAGAGGTGATTTTCTTCTGAGAGCTCCCTAAGAAAGGGTTTCTTTCCTTTAAATCCCTTTAAATACACTGTCTCGGTGTATTCTGGCCTGTTTGGTCACAGGCCATTCTCTGGGAACTGGTCACTGGGACCAGGGGCTGAAATTTTGTGATGACCTCTGCCCTAAGCCATCTGCCCCCACCTTCATAGCGAGAGGGTGACGCTTCCCCAGGAACACACACACCACGTGAGGCCCTGGAGGTGGAATAGGGAGGGGCGATCAAAGCCAGGTAGCCCCAAAACAGGAGACTGTTCACCTTGACCGTGTAAAATGGAGGGGCCGTTCTTCAGGCAGCGGTTCACCGGCGCCCCAGGGAATTAGCTGGGCCCAGTGAGCTAGGTGTTGAGGGGCGGAGGTGCGGCAGGTCTGAGGGCTGGAGCCTGCCGTGGGTGGTAGTGGAGGGCAGGGTCACCCCCCCTTCCTGGGAGGGAACGTGTCTGGCCGTGGGTCGCGTTCACTCTGGTTTGTGGGAACCTGGCAAGTGTCCCCCGACTCTTCTCCAGAATGGAAATGTGGGGCGCTAACGAAAATGGCTTCAGGGCACCTACCAAGTATTTCATTCTTTCAGAGTCACCAGCCATCTGTTTTCCAGCTCTGTGCCGAACGGCATGACACAGGGCCTTTAGTGTTTGGGGAGTTTGAAACAGGCACCAACACGTGTGCACTTGGAGGAGTCGGGGAAAGGCTCCCGGAGGAGGTGACAGGTTGAGCTGGACATTGCGGGGGCTGGGGGGGGCGGTCTTAAGCTGGGCAAGGGGAGGGAAGGGCATCTGTGGCAGAGACGGTGGAGAGAGCTAGAGAATGCAGTGCAGTGGGTATCACGGGGAGCAGTGGGAGTCCATCCGCGCGCCTGCGGCTGGTGTGTGGAGAGCCGGGGCAAAGCCGAAGGGGTGTGGACGCCGCAGCCCCCCCAGGAGACGCGCAGGAAGGTTCACAGCAGGGTGTTTGCAAGAGCAAACAACAGAACCGGAAACAGCGCAGGGCTCTCAGTAGAAGGGATGAACGAGCCGTAGCATAGCAGTGCGAACGAACTACAGGGATCTGCATCAATACGGCCGAATCTGAGGAATACTTGAATTATTTATTCTTTTATACGAGATTTAAAAACAAAATGAACAGCAAATGGTTTGTAGGAACTATCGTATATAGTTAAGCTACCAAGAAAAAAAAGGGGGGAAGGAAGCACAGGATTGGGGATCATGGTTTCCTCCAGGGGTGGATTGACTTGGGGAGGGGGGCCCCATAGGGCTTTAAAGGTCTTAGTAAATGTTCTATTTCTTAAGGTGAGGGATGAGTTCAAGGGTGTTAGTTTTGTTCCTAAAACCTTACCCATGTCGCAAATATTCAGGATTTTATAGAGAGAGTTTTTTAAAAATTAAAGAAACCCGGTGATCTGGGAGCTGGGGCTGGAGCATTGAGTTGCGGCTGCGCAGTGAAGGGCCTGAGGGCCAGGCGAGCAGCCCGGATTTCACCTCGTGTCTCTGTCCGTCAAGGCTGGGGCCACGCGGCGTGGGGTAGGCGAGGGAAGGTACAGGCTCAGACCAAGCAGAGACGGGGAACGGTGGGCTCTTCTGCCCTCTTCTGCAAGCCCGGGAGCTACACCCTTTCTTTCTGAGATGCTTGCTTATTTAAATACTTTTTTATTCTCCTGCTTTAAGTTTATAGGGTGTTCCTCACTTTGTGGTGTACTCTCAGGTTTTGTCCTGACGCTAGCCCTGGGTGGGGTAGCTGATGGCCCAGCGTACAGAGAAACTGAGGTCCCAGAGACTTAGGCAGGTCGCCCGAGGTCCCCGGCTACTAAGGGGCAGTGCTGGGGCTAGAACCCAGCTTGCTCTTTACCACGTATCTGTTCTTACGTGCATGTCTGTGTGTGTTTCCATCAGGACTCCCCAACCTCTTCTGACTGAAAACCTGTTGAATTTCCCAGAAGCCCTGTGAGGGGGGCTCCTTCCCCCCGGGAGGCTGCTTCCAAGCAGTGTAGGGAGTCTCGGGGCGGGGGGAGAAGGCCGCAGACGACGCGGGACAGCCGATGCCGGCGAGGCCTCGTGGATCTCGGGCACCCGCTCCATGGCTTTTTCCTCTTCTGAATTTGCATCTAGTGTCTTCTGCTGGGGATGTGGAGAGAGCCAGAGTTCTGAAGGAAGAAGGCAATGAGCTTGTAAAGAAGGGAAACCATAAGAAAGCTATTGAGAAGTACAGTGAAAGCCTCTCCTTTAGTGACATGGAGTCCGCCACATACAGCAACAGGTATCTGCCACCAGCCACTGGCCTGGGGGATTTCAGGACGTCGGCTGCTGTCCATAGTCTTCTCTCGGACTGGGGCGGGCTCTTCATTCCTAGCGCTTAGTCAGTGTGTCGCAGCTCGAGATAGGCATTCCCAGTTGTTTTGGTCCCCGTGAGGCAGGTGTGGCCAGTGGCATTTGCTCTTTTAAAGGAATAGACACTGAGCGATGCCGGGGCGCCTGGGTGGCTCGGTTGGGCGACTGCCTTCGGCTCGGGTCGTGGTCCCAGGGTCCTGGGATCGAGCCCCGCATCAGGCTCCTTGCTCGGCGGGGAGTCTTCTCCCTCTCCCTCTGCTTGCTACACCACCTGCTTGTGCTCTCTCTCTGTTAAATAAATAAATAAAACTCTTAAAAACAAAGAAAAGGAAAGAAACTGAGCGATGCCAACGTGGAGCCTGGGCTCTGTCAGCCTCCCTCCCCCTCAGGTTTTCATGAACCATCCAGATGAGCACACTCCATAAGTAAGAGCAGTGTGCTTATACAAACACAGCCTCAACGTGTGTCTCGTAGCCCTCCCCCTTTGCCCCAGCCCCACGGGTTCCCCGGACCCTCCTATTAGAAGGCTTGGCACCGTCTCAGCACCAGGACAGAACCCAGGGTGTGGACTAACTATCGCCTGGCCTGGGAGCAAGAGAGATGGTCCCATCTAGCCTGAAGGGTGTGACCTGTTGAACACCCCGCACCACGAGCTGCTGGACGTGAATGCCGGTTCTTTCCACCGACAGTGGGGTCACTATTCCTTTATTGGGTGGGAGTCACGGTTTTGCAACACACTCAGGCGTACTGGTGGTAGGTGGTCTTCTCCTTTTAAAGTCAAGAAATCAGAAGCTCAGAGCCAGAAGGGCTTTACCTCTGCTCACCGGCCAGTAAATGGTGGAGACAGACTTGCAGCCTGGCTCCGATGAGATCTTTCTATTAGTTTTACTGTCAGAAGCTTGGAACATTCAGCAAGGGACCTTATCTGATCCAAATCTTGCTTATAAAAGATTTACTACAAAATATTATAAATTGTTTCTCCCGCCCTGCTAACATACACATAACTACTCTTCAGTTCAAAAATCTTGGATCTACTATAGTCTTGCCATTCCCTATCCAAAATTCTTGGGATAAAATGTGTTCCAGATCTGAGTAAGGTAATATGGTCTGTATATTGGATCACATAATACTCCCACAGGGTCTGGGCAGTGGCTGAAGTTCATTGTTAACATTTCTGCCTGAAACACGGGGAAATTCCATGTAACCTCAGGCCTGCGCAGGTCAGGTTTTGCTGTCAAATAAGTTCAAAAGAGAACTTTTTGTTTTAAAGCGTGGATTTTCGAATTTGAGACCTGTGGTTTTACTGGCTGATTGGACCAGGGATGCCTCAGTCTGCCAGGCTCACCGAAGGAAGGGCTGTTGCCCGTTTGTTCTAGGTTTCTGCTGCAGCATTTTGACGCCCCCATCTCTGGGCCCTCTGGACTCACTTGCTTCATACTGAGAGAGACCTCTAATAGCCTGTTTTCCTGGATTTTTAATACATTCAAGACAATGCTTTGTTTTGTTTAAATACAATTTTTCATACAAGTATGTTTTTGCCACAGGTTTTGTTTTTTTTTTTTTTAGCTTTTATTTATTTATTTGACAGACAAAGAGGGAACACAAGCAGGGGGAGTGGGAGAGGGAGAAGCAGGCCTCCCACGGAGCAGGGAGCCCGATGCGGGGCTCGATCCCAGGACCCTGGGATCGTGACCTGAGCCGAAGGCAGATGCTTAATGACTGAGCCACCCAGGCGCCCCTGTGCCACACTGTTTTAATTATTAGTGCTTTATACTATCTTGTAGGGCTGGTCTTCTCCCTGTTCTTAATCAGAGCATCACTGGCTATTTTCCCAGGTTTGTTCTTCTAGCTAAACCTTCGGATCATTTTGACAGACTCCAAAAAGTATCTTGGTGGGCTTTTGGTTGTGGTTACATTGAATTTATAAATTTAATTTTGAGGACTGATAACTCGACACAAAACTGAATTTTCCATCCATTGTGGCTGAAATTATACCACATCCTTGATGCCATTTTAATGCTCCGCTTTGTGCCTATGCAGCTCTGTGTACCAGCTCATCGTCTTTGGCTTCCTTCCCTTCTCTCTGTGCAGTTGGTACCTGAGTGGGGATATCACTCGGGTGCCCAGCACCTACAGCTTGCCCTGAATGGACCTTCAGAAGAGTCTCATTTAAAATTAAAAATGAACCTGAATCCCTACCTCACTCTGTATTTTAAAGTAAATTCTAAGTGGATCACAGTTTCAAATGTAGAAAATAAAACCACCAAGTTGTAGAAGAATGCATGGGTTAATTATCTTGCAGTGGGGAAAGTATTAAAATAACATTGTTGTGGGGTGGGCGATAGGGACCAGAGAGGTCGTTAAAGGAAAGGCAAATTTGATTTCATGAGGTTAAAAAGCCTTATGTAAAGATACTGAGCTTTGCCCATATTTAAAGCAACTACATTAAAATGGACTTTGTTTTCTTCCATTATTGACTGAAGTTAAAGATTGACCCCAGGGTTAGTACAGTTACAGGAAAATAGAAAGTTACTGATAGAGCCTCAGAGAGCAGCTCCTTTGCAGAGCATTTTGGCAATAATAGTCACGGTTATAAATGCACGTATCTGCTGACCCATCCGTTCCTCCCAGTAGGCATCCTGAGTTTTATGCACAAGGATGCTCATGGCAGCATCTTGTATTAGCAAACCGAAAGCAATGAAAAATATCTCCAGATAAGGAATTGGCAAAATAAGTTGTGGTTCATCCAACTAAGTGAATAGTGCTCCCATCGGGAATGGTGAGGTAGAGTGGGTGGAGTTACAGAAGGAGCGCCAAGACACACCTGTTCTTAGTGGCCATCTCCGGAGAAAAGAATGGGGAAGATGTACACACTTTTTTCCCCGTCGATGCAAAACATTTTGTTGTATGGATGTATGCGGCTGTTTTTTCCCCATGATTATGAAAGTTTTCACGGTGTAAGTTGAAAGAATTGTACGTTGGACACTCACACCTACCACCCAAATTCCCCGTTAACATTTTGCTACGTTTGCTCTATCGCACGGAGCCACTGACCGGTGCCGCTTGGTTTGGGCGCATTTCAGAGTGAGCCGCAGACCCTGCACCTGCCCGCTGACGTGTCCGCGTGTGCGTGCTCAGGGTCCAGTACTTACGGTAGAGGACTTCTCAATCCGTCGGGGGCGGGGCAGGCGGGGTTCAGGAGCAAAAGAGCGCAGGCTGGGAGCGGGAGGCAGCCCAAGGGACAGGCCCCATGGCCAGGACGGCCGGGACGTGGAGCGTCCGCCCCGCGGCGGCCCCAGTGCTGGCGCCGGTCCCCTCGCCCCCCCCGCACCGCGAGGGTGAGGAAGCCGCACGGCCACCGGCCCCGAGCGGTGTCTGCCGCCTCCCAGGTCACCGCTCGGCTGGTGGGCGGCCGCTGAGCAGTGACCGGACCCTCCCGACGGCCTTTCCCGGCAGAGCGCTCTGCCATCTGGCCCTGAAGCAGTACAAGGAAGCGGTGAGGGACTGCACGGAGGCCCTCCGGCGGGATGGAAAGAACGTGAAGGCGTTGTACAGACGAGCGCAAGCCTACAAGGCACTCAAGGTAAAGAGCCCGACCGAAAGGCACCAGCTGAGACGCCTGTGCCTGTGGTGGCCCCACCCCCCCAGGGCAGCCCCCGCGGTGGCTCAGGGCAGGCCCGCAGGCTGGGGTTCGAGACCCTGTGGGCCTTGGCAGCCCCGGCCCACCTCAGTCAGGTCTCCGTCCTCAGCCCCTTCTCTCTCCTCTCAGGACTACAAATCCAGCTTGGCAGACATCAGCAGTCTCCTGCAGCTTGAGCCCAGGAACGGCCCTGCCCGGAGGCTGCAGCAGGAAGTTAAGCAGAGTTTAAACTAAAGACCCAGAAGGTTAGCGGGAAGCCTCTGCCCGAGCTCCCTCCTCTGTGCCTGCTCCTGGGACCCAGCATGCCCCCGAGCGAGCTCTGAGGCCACTCAGACGTGCTGGCTTCCCACCCCTTAAGAGGCTTTGCTTTGTTCAGAATTAAGCTCAGAGTAGTAAAAAGAAAAAACAAAACAAAAAACCCCCAGATGGTGTTCTGCTGGAACGGTCCCCACTGCCGCCTGCCCCGGACAGCTAGCAGAGCACTTGGCTCGGACGCTGCCCCAAGCATGCTCCCCACGGCTGCCCTCCTAGCTTCCCCAGACCCATCTCACTGTGGTTCATCTGAGCAAAGTGAGCGCGGGGGTCGGGAGGTTGGGGAGGGGTAAACTAGAGCCCAAAGCAGCCTGTTGAGCTGGTTCTCCAGGGCTGCCATCCCCACCCTGTCCGTCCCAGAGCTCCCGGTGTTCTGAGCTCCAGTGCCTTTTGGCTGGGCCCTCCTCTGGTAGGGACACAGAATCCTGACCCGCAGGTGGCCTTGTCTGTAGCTCTGGGCTGCTACCCCCTCCTGCGGGGAAGTGCCTGAGCGGTTTTAAGAGTCCGGAGGTGTGGCCGCTCCTAAAGGTGGGATGGAGAGAAAAGGCCTTGAAGTCTGTGTCCTTCCACTCTGGGCAGGGACCATCTTTTGACCTCAACAGTGGCCCCCTCCAAGCTTCTTGGTTCTTTGTCACGCGAAGTTAATTTGAACTAAATGGACTGATTTTGTTGAACTGTGTATCCAAGCTATTGCATTAAACATCTTTCTGGTACGTAGATGTCTGCCATACTTCCGTACACTTCGTGCTTGGAACTTTGCAGGAACAAAGCTGCAGCGTGTTGAGCACTTGCGCACTCGTCGACCAGACTTCCTGGACTGTGTGCATGGGTCAGGCTGTGTGTACAGTGCGGGGGAAAGCACAGTAACCGACACGGTCCCCGCTCTCGGACGGCTGAGGCCGAGAACCCCAGCAGCAGACTGCAGCCTGCGCGTCTTAGAGGAGCCATCATGCGGCGCTTCTCCCCGACTTGGGGGGCAAGGGGTCCCTGAGGAGGTAAAGCTTGCATTGAGTTCTAACGTGAGAGCTTAACTGGGGAAGAGGGCAGAAAGGCAGTCCCAGCAGACAAAACAGACGTTTGTAAAGGCCTCAGCTGAGAGGAGAGGGTGAGGACCGGGACCAGAAAGTGCTTTCCTGGGCTGTGTCCCAGTTAAAAAAAAAGGGGGGGGGACAATTTAAGATTTTTGAGAGAACAAGTGGGAGGAAGGGCAGAGAGAGAAGCAGACTCCCTGCAGAGCAGGAAGCCCGAGTCGATCCCAGGACCCCGGGATCATGACCTGAGCCGAAGGCAAATGCTTAACCAAAGGAGCCCCCTGGGCGCCCACATTGTTTTCCCCTTAATGGAGCAGCGAGCAGTTTGAGGACTCTAAGACACAGCAGAGGGATTTCATTGTCCCTCTGCTTCCTGTCACAGGAGTGCTGAGCACCATTCAGCTGGTAGCACAGCTTCTGACCTCTGAAGGATGAGTCCACAGACCTCTGAGCTAAGCAGATTTTAGGGTTCACAGAGACACCCATGTGCGTGGCCAAGGGACCAGAGTGGGGAGCTGTACCCCTTTTATTGTCACCTCTCAGGCAAGACTCTTTAACTGATGGGAGGCAGGCTTAGTGGTGACATCCATTCACAATTGACGTTTTCTTCTCAAGGTCTGGAAGGCAAGCATCTTGATTTGCTCATGAACACATAGAAGGTAAAATCATGACTTGGGCAGGTATCCGAAAGCGATTCTGTGTGGTTTCTTCTAGAATTACGTTACACAGCCCCTCAGTCAGCCAGAGCCCAGAAGCAGTTGGTGCTTCTGGGGTGTATACCTGCGCTGCAGGGCAGTCAAGCCAGGCGCCCAGAAAGCTCCATGTGCGTCAGACACGGGCACCCGTAGCTTTAGTTCTTCTCTCAGTGCTGTGTGAGGAGCACTGCTGGGTGCGGATCTGCTCGCGGGCACACACCTACTGCACTCTCTGGGTTTCTGCTCCTTCCAGGCAATTCCCCAGCCCAGTCAAACCCCCACCCTTTGCTCTGCCCCACCTCCCTCAGACACAAGAAGGCCTCCTGGGAGACAAGACAGAGTTTGCAGCACTTTTAATGCACAAAGCAAAAGGTGATAGGCTGGCGGGGTGACTAGCCTTCGTTCCACATCCAGAGCTCAAGTACAGATACGGCCCCGTGGGGAAATAAGTTACGGTTCCCAGGGACGGAGAGCCAAGAGCAGGAAACGCCATTCTCTTGTCAGCCAAGGGAGTGAGGATTCCGTTTTCTGGGGATGAAAGGGTAGGAATAGATGTTTCTGACATAGAGCAGACTCGCGGCCTTCAACTAAGAAGGTAATGGGCCAAGGCAGGCCTTCCGGCAAGGAGTGTGAAGCCGGCCAACGCGCAGGGGAGCCCGGCCCGTCCCCAGTGAGGCCAGGCAGGGTAGCTGGTAAGAGGACACCGCACTCTGCACGGTGGTCGACACTCCTTCTGATCCTACCGTCTGTCCTTTTCCTTTGATCCTTACAGCTTCCCCCAAACTCCTTGGTGCCTCAGAGAAAGGCAGCCACACAGTTTCTGAAAGTCAGTCCCTGACTAGTTTTTCCCGGCTTCCCTTGGGCTCAGCGGCTTCTGTGTCCGTCTGTCCCCCCGGCCCCACCCCGAGCCGCCCACCTGGTTTCAGAGCACGTTCCCCGTCGTCAGCTCTGTGGCCTGGTGTGCATGCAGCACCGCCAAAGCCTCTTCCACCTGTGGGACACGGGGGGGGGGGGAGGGGGGGTTGGTGCCACTGCCCCGCGGGGCCCTAGGAGAGGAGTGCCTAAGCGTGCTGGGTACTCGAAGTCCCCTCCCTCCACGGCACTGCTGCCCCCAAGTGCCCCTGACGGAAACCCAGTCACCTGCTCCAGACAGGTGTCCACTGCTGGACAGCTGGGACAATCTTAACCCTATACTCCGTCACAACACAGCTCCTTGTACCAAAACCTTGCACGGGGAGCTGCTGCAGAGAATAATCTGGAAGGGCTGGGATAGTACCCCCCCCCCCGCTCCCCCCCGCCGCTCAAAGATTCAGCAAGTACTAGCTGGCATTAGGGAAAAGGGAAACCGTCCCAGCCACAGCCTGGGAGCCCTTCTGGGAGAGGTCTTTGTCATGAGCTCTCGCAGGGCACCCTGGCACCCAGACCACCTTGGCATTGAGGGACTCTGGGGACTCCAGCATGAGCAGCAGCTCCGAGTTGTCGATCTCCAGCAGCATGCCCGTGATCTTGCCCGCCAGCTGGGTGTGGGTATCGTAGATGAGGGGGTACAGACGCTCACCTGTATAGAACACCTGGCTGATAACCCAGCAGCCCAGGGGCGGGGGGCAGGGTGGTGGGTACCGTGGAATGGAGCAGTGAGGCATCTGGGGGCTCGTCCCAGAACTGCTCCTTCCAGGCTGTGTCCCTGAGCTCCACTGGGAGCCTCTTTCCCAACCATAAAGTGCGCAGAGCAAACCCTGCTTCGGAGGCTAATTTGAAGAATCAAATTTGATACTCTAGGTGAAGTTACCTACACAGGGTCGGACACCGACTTGGGGTTTAAAGACTACTCTTGCTCATCTTAAAAGAAATAGTTCCCAAATACACACTGGAATTCTAGACAAGATATGCTAATGCCCAACTGGACTTTTGAGGGGGCGGGGGGAGCCACATATACAAGATAAATTCACCTTCCACCATCAGGCACTTCTAGTGACAGGGCCTAGCACTGGTAGCCAGCCCCTCTCGGCCATGTGGGGAGGGTCTGGCCAGGCTGGGGTGCTGGGGTGCTGGGGTGGGAGAGGTTTTCCCACGAGTAAAGTGAAGAGGTTTACAGGGAACGGCTAACAGCCTCCTGCCTCCATGAAGCCCATGTAGAATTTCCTTTGAGCAGTTGGAAGTGGCAAGACCCCAAGTGAGCTGAGGAAACAACAGGGTGGTGGCAAAGGGGGCCCTCAGAGCGGCTCTGGACATCTTGGTGGCCACGGACGGAAGAACCTGCCACCCAGTAGCAAGCCTGTCATTCATTCGACAGTGAGTGGCATCCTTTGGCAGGGCCTGCCATAGACACTGCACTGGGGACGAACTGCACAAGGAACTCACAGCCCAGCAGGGAACGTGTGTTTGCCCCATGCCCCATGCCCACTTATCTCCCGCCTCCCTGCAGTGGCCACTGGGAGCTGGATGACATGTGGGGACAGCCTCTTCCCCTTCAGGAGAGGTGAGGAGCTGCGACGCCCACCGGCAGAAACCCAAGACCACACCCTGGCTCCTGGCCCCCAGTCTGCCCACAGCTGGGCTCTCTCCAGCCCGTCGGGGGCCTGGAACAGCAGAGCTGAAGAACTCTCGGGACCGTCTGCTCTGACCAGTGTTTTAAGGGAGGGAGGGAGGCCGAGAGAGCAGAGGCGACCCCAGCAAGGTCACCCAGCAGGTCGGTCCGCAGCAATGCTGGACCTCGTCCACACGTCTGACCTCCACCCAAGGTCTCGCCCCACCAGGCTGGCCCCCTCTCAGCCCCCGCTTCCGGCTGCGGCCACTCACCGATCATCTGCTTTTGCTCGGGCAGCGGTGCCGCGGCCAGCATGGACGCCGTCAGGGGCTCCTGTCCCGGGATGCGCACAGCGGGCTCCTGCATCTGTACATGGGACAGGAGGGGGACACGTCCCTCAACCACCACGGACAGGCAAGGCCTCGCCACACTTACCCTGTCAGCGGGGCACAGGCCTCCAGGGAAGCTCTGGAGAGTGGGGCAGGGGGCAAAGTACAGACAATGTCCCTAACAAGGGCACAGTGGGCTAGACACTCCAACTCGGATGCCTTCCCCAGTGCCAGGAACCTAGAACGGCCCCCGCCTGAATGCTGCCGCAGGAAAGCATTACTATTCACTTTGTGCCAAATAACGTACTTTTTATCACGTAGCTTTATGGCCACGTCCCCAGCATACTCCTGACCCTTCCACATTACAGGAACTTCCAGCGCATTTTGCCATTTAAAGAGGACATCTGTTCTTTTTGCAAGAAAGAGTTTGAAGTATACACATTGAAATTCTAGACAGGATAGGATAATGCCGAGTTTGGGACTTGGGCAGGGGGCAGGGAGGTAAATACATAGCTTTTTTAATCACAACCTTTCAAATATTCAGCGTATTTCTAGAAGCTCTTTCCTTGCTGCTCAACGCTGAATACTAAAGAAACCCAGATTAATTTTTCTAATAACCCAGGCAGAGCAAATCATAATTAATAAACCAAATGTGATCTTGGCCCTTTCCCTCCTTCTGTTAGTAAGGGGGATTGTTTCTTGATTGCACACATTAGTAAATGAAACTTCCCAATTCAAGAAAAGAAAAGAAAAAAGACAAAAACAAAAAACAAGGCCCAGAGAGGGCCAATGCCTCCAATGCCTTAGCCGAGGTTCTGAGCCAAGCGTCCCGGAGCCCGGACTAAGAGGGCAGTCAGGCCAGCCTTACCCCAGGGTTGTGTGGTGCTGAGGGATATTTGTGCGTCAGGAGAGGCCCGCTTGGTGTAGAATATCCCACCCCACCGGCTCCTGTGGTCTGGGTGCCGATGTTGGCTGTAAGAAATAACGGGGCTGTTACGGCCTGACGGCGATCGAAAACCACAAAGCCTCAAGATGAGCGTCCACGTAGCAGCCCAGCGCGAGCCAGGAGGCCGGCACATAGACGTGCACACGGCTCCTGCGTCCTCGCTAAGGTCCGATCTGAGGCTAAGCCCTGGCACGTGTGAGCTCATTCACCCGCGGGACCAAACCGGAGTGCTATTTTCATCCCTCTTTTAAAGGTGAGGTGATCAGATGGTTAGCAAGGCCACAGAGTGAGCTGGCCCCAGGAGCTGGGTCTGGGGGACTCCGGGGCCCACGAGAACTCCTATGCCACACGGCCTCCAGTCGGCGCTGCTCTCCAAGAGGGCCCATGACGAGGTCACCGTGGAAGCCAGTCCTGACTCCCCACCTGTGCCGACCCAGCACCAAGCCCTTGCCCCGCCCTCCTCACACCCCCATTCGTCTTGGCCCTGCCCACACTCACCCACTCTTTGGGTGTGGGGCAGCGGGGGCGGCACCTGGGTAGAGGCCTGCCTGACACTGCTGACCTGGGCCGGGGGGCGCCGCAACATGGCTGGTGGCCGGACCACTGAGGCAGCTGGAGGATAGGTGGCTTGTGGCACAGAGAACATGGACAGAAAAGTTGGTGGGGCAGGACAATCCGAGTGGCCCACTGCACCCTGAAGGTTCCAGGGTGAGGAAGGGAATGGGAAGGGGGAACCAGAACGTTCTCAGCAAAAAAGATGAGTGAATTCACCGAGCCGGGCGGACCCGGACTCCGGGGAAGGGGAGTGTGTGGAAATCTACAACTACAAAGCCAACTTGTTTCTACCCAGAGCCCAGGAGGCACAGGCATCATGATTGCACCCACGGGGCCCCCAAGACACTGTCAAGTCAGGGTGAGGGCCCCTCCTAGGGAGGGGCCATCCATCAGCAGCACAGCCCCAGGAGTTCATTGTGACGGTCACAGACCAGTCTTGGGCGCTAACTGAAGAGAGTGGCTACACCCGCGAGTCTTTTACAAGTTGGGCACTGCGTGGTGCTTCGTGCACACCTCGTTCAGAAGAGGAAACCAGAGGTGAAGTTACCCACCGAATGAACACCCAGGGGACTAGCAGAGCTGGGCTTGCCCCCAAAGCCGGTGTCCTTAGCCCCGGGTTCCACACTGCCCTGCGGGGCCCACCCCCGCGGGCCAGGCTGAGGGTACCAGGGGCTGAGTCACTCACAGGAGGGTCTCGGAGGCTGGGCCGTCCACCTGGGGGCGGGCTGCATGGGGGGGCCGGAGGCATAGTATGCAGCCTGGGCTGGAGGCTGTGAGGGAGAAGACGGGTAGTCAGGGGCCTGCAGCAGGTGAGAAACCGCATCCCCTCCTGGACACCCCCGAGGGAACACCACTGCCCCCTCCAGGGACTGGTTAGTGAGGCCCCACGAGCTGCGATGAGGCCCCTGCTGCTCAGCTCAGGCTGTCCGTGAGCCCTGAGCCCTCCGGGGAAAGGGCTTAGGTTCAATCCTTGACCCTGACCAGAGCAGGTAGCCCAGAGAGCGGCACGAGATGGTCACACCTACTCGGACCTGTGCTGGCTGAAGCTACCGCTAAAAGGAGCCGGTATGCCCATCCCAGTAGCTGCTCATGGCCAACACCTTTCCGCTTCCTCTAAGGCCCGTGGGCTCCCTTCGGAACACAGGCCTCCAGCAGGGAGGCTGGCGGGCGGCCCAGTCAGGACCGGCTAAGCCGGGGAAATGCCACATGCTCTCTGCTGGGGTGGGGAGGCGCAAATGCACACCAACACGTTAGGGGAGAGTAATGTGCACAGGCGAGTGTCGTGCAGCATAGAAAGCTAGGTCCCTTTTATTTAACGCATTGTTTCTCAAACCTACTTGACCAGACAGGGTCTCTGCGCAGAACACAAATCTCTCCCTGGGTGGGAAGGGCTGTTTGACAGCAACACGCCTACCCGCCTCTTACGGACCGGGTTAAAACGGCCTGCCTGCCGAGTTTCCAGCAGAAACATGCAGAGAGCCCACATCTACCTGGGAAGCTGGCGTCCTGCTCTACCTGGCCGTCAGGGAAGGGGCGCGGGCGGGTCATCACCTGGGGCACGGCGGGCAGGAAGTAGCCGGCGGGCTGCTGGAAGGAGCCCAAGAGGGGGCCGCCCAGCGCCCGCACCGTGGACAGACGCTGCATGTACTGGTTGGTCAGGATGGCCTTCCGCTCCTCTTTGCGCTGGGCCAGTGCCACGTACAGTGGCTTGGTGCCCACGATGCGCCCGTTCATCTCGGTCACGGCCTTGGTCGCCTCTTCTGGAGAGGAAAAACACACAAAGCCAAACCCCTTGCTGTGGCCACCCTCTGTCATCACCTAAAAGCAAGACAAGACAAGGGCTGCTGGGGGTGGGGAAGGAAGACTCCTGGGGGCTGTGCTCCCCTCCTCCCCGCCCCAGGTCCCAGCCCGGCACTGAGCAGGCCCAGAGAAACCGTCCCCCCGACATTGCCTGAGGCCCACTGCATGCCAGATACTGGATGTGCCTTCTCATGTCACGTGTACTTCCACCTGATGGGGGGGCACCTGATGGGGGCGCCACTCCCACTTCACAGGCGACGGAAGTGGGGCTCAAGAGTGACTTGGTGGAGATCAGGCCACTTGCTAACTGGGGGCTGCTTGCTGTTTAATAGGACACTCCCCAGAGTCCGTGGGAACCGCTGCATTTCAGGATTTTTGTATTTTCTTTCTGAAATGATTTTCCTAAGCTGTGATGGAAAGCTGGTTTAAACAGAATCTACCTTCATCACATGGGCTATCATGAAGGAAAAGGATAGTTTAGGATTGCTTAAAATCTAAGAACAGGGCAGGGTTCTTTTCCTAGAGCCACAATCTTAAACACTCCATTTGAGGTCCCGGTGATGAAAATCTGCATTTCGACTACTCTTTGGTTTTTTTAAACTACCCATACAATTCTTTTGGTTTATTTGGGAATTAGGGAAAGAATACAATGTTCTTAAGAGTAAGTTTCCTAGGCGCCTGGGTGGCTCAGATGGTTGGGCGTCTGCCTTCGGCTCAGGTCATGGTCCCGGGGTCCTGGGATGGAGTCCCACATCGGGCCCCTGGCTCAGCGGGGAGCCTGCTTCTCCCTCTCCCTCTGCCTCTCTCCCTGCTCATGCGCTCTCTCTGTCTCTCTGTGTCTCAAATGAATAAATAAAATCTTTAAAAAAAAAAAAAAAAAGAGTAAGTTTCCTAGAAAGTCCAATTAGATTTGCATGGAATATAAAATGATTTAAATTTATATTTTTGGTGACTTATTCTATTTTCTTTGTGGTAGAAATAACAGTCCTTACTACAATTAAAAAAAAAAAAAGCGCGACTTCTCTAGGGTCACCCAGCCTGTGGACACCCATCAGCCAGGATTCAAACCCAATGCAGTGTTCTGGTAAATGTCCACTGCCTCTCCAAGGAACTGAGCCAAGTTCGTTAGGAGTCTGGGAAGAGGTTCTTAGCTTTGTTAATAACGTTTAAATTTTGGAATAACTTTAGATGTACAGAAAAGTTGCAAAAATAGTACAGAGTGGCTGTCTTTCAGCCAGCTTGCTCCAATGTGAACAGGGTACATGTGTATATTAACATTGGGACAATACTATTAATTATCAGCCACAATGCTATTATTAACTGAACCGCAGGTCTCATTCAGCTTTCACTAGTTTTTCTAATATTTTTCTCTTCCAGGATCCAATCCACATTGCATGTATGGTTCGTAATCTTTTTTGGGATCAAGACACTGGCCTGGCTCACACATTTGGACTTGAACCGACATACTTTTTAAATCTGCTCTATTAGAGCCCATGTTCTACATAATTGGTGTTCAAACTGCACTTTGCTACCCATTCACATTGGGGCCTGGGCCTGAGGGTTCACAGATCCCCCTCAGGGAGGCCAGTGGATAGAAGTCAGGAGGTCTATGAACTTGGATGGGGAAAAAAATGGCCTCTTTGTTTTCACATTAGCGTTCCCTTCTATTGTAAATATGGACAACAAAAATAGGGGAGTCTTGGCTGTGCTTGGGATTTTGTCAGGAAGAAAATATTTTCATATCATGTTAATCACTGCTGCCCTCAAAATATCATCTATGCTAATGCTACCTCCCTAGATCTTATAGCTGGGTACAATAAGGAAGCACCTACTCCTGTCACCTCCATATTTTGATAGTTGTGTTTCAATATAATTGTTTTTTTGTAATCCTCTGAATTTTTTTTAAAAGATTTTATTTATTTATTTGACAGAGACAGAGAGAGCATAAGCAGGGGGAGCTGTAGGCAGAGGGAGAGGGAGAAGCAGGCTCCCCGCTAAGCAGGGAGCCCGATGTCGGGCTCCATCCCAGGACCCTGGGATCATGACCTCAGCCGAAGGCAGACGCTTAACCGACTGAGCCATCCGGGTGCCCCTCCTCTGAACTTTCTTTTATGCATTGAAAAATATTCTCAGAAGGGATCCATAGGCTTTCATAACCCAGATTTTCTTGGCACAAAAGTATTGTCTTAACAAGTAAATAAGAACTTCTGTTAGGTAGTAAATAATGACAAAATACATTTATGCAGCTTACTATAAACATGATAGTACTTTTAGCACTTTATATGCCTTAACTCATTTTCATTCTCACTGTATTTTATATACAGTCGAAATCATAAATACAAAGTTACATAAAATCCCCACTTTATAACCTAATTGGTCAATTAACAAGATAGTGCTGCAACTCTGAGCAATCCAGATTTTTACAATTCCCTTCCCTCAAGGAGTCCTCAAGGAGGTCGGTGAATCTCCAGAAATTAGACACTACGTGTGAATAATCAGATCATCATTTCACTACTTGTTGTGGGCAGGTGCTCTGCATGCAGGCTCCTTAGTGCTCAGGATACCTCGAGAGGTAGGTAATGTTGCTCCCATTTCACAGATGGGTAAACAGACTCCAAAAGGCAAAGTCACTTCCCTCAGATTCTACAGTAGTTAATGTAGGACTGGGATTTACACCTAGTTCTAATTAACTTTAACATCCCAGTTTTCAACCACAATGCTACACAAGGTATATATTTGCTGGGAAAGAGGGCCCATAGCTTTTTCATAACGTTTAAGCAAATTTACTGATGCTTATTTACATGTCCCATAGCTCTGTCATTTTTTCAAAGATCCTTAACTCAAAAATTGTTAGAACCTCTGCCCTAAACACCAGGCTTCCTGAAGGACATTTAAAATTGGATTCAACAGGGATGCCTGGGTGGCTCAGTCAGTTAAGCGTCTGCCTTTGGCTCAGGTCGTGATCCCAGGGTCCTGGGATCGAATCCTACATTGGGCTCCCTGCTCAGCAGGGAGCCTGCTTCTCCCTCTGCCTGCCACTCCCCCTGTTTGTGTTCTCTCAGACAAATAAAATCTTTAAAAAAGATTTAAAAATTTAAACAATGCAATTGGACTCAAAAGGCAAAAGAGCTTCTAGACCACTTCCCAAGAACCCAACCATCACATCACATATTCTGGTCTCCAGCCCCATCACTCACACTGATACCTTTGGAAAGTTCTTCATTCCTCCCTGCAGCTCCCTACCTCCTCACAGTCAAGCCAAATGCTTCTGCCACTGCCACTTCTTGCAGGAAGCCCTCCTTCCTGTTCCCCTGAGCTACCATAGCTCTGCCTCCAATACCCCCAATCACCCCACAAACACCTTATAATGGATTTGAGTTAGTGATGCATCTGACATCCTCACTTGATTATAAGCTAGTCAAGGGCAAGAACCACATCTAACTCATTACTATAGGCTTCCCAGAGGGCCTGGTAAGACAGGAGGTGCTTAAGTATGGAATGAATGAACACTGGGTTATATGAAAATCATCTGAGGAGCTTTAAAATAAAATGCCCAGGCCCTACTCTGAAATCTTCCATTTGTCTAACTCAGGTGTCTGTAAGAGCTCCCCGGAGGGAGGGGTTAATAAGCCAGGGCCGAGAAACATCCAATGAGCCCGACACTCTCATCGTATAGATGAAATTCAGAAGACATGGGCTAAAAAGTAGAACAGCCAATCATCACATGTCAGGTGCTAAGTGGGCTGGGCACGTGGCAAGTGCTCAGTAAATAGGGAAGAATGAATGACAAATGAAGCAGCCCAACCCTCTCATTTTCCAAATGGGGAAACTGAGGTCCAGAAGACAAGAGTCAGCGGAAATTCTGAGACATGAATTTCTAGAATCTGGCATACAGTAGGCACTCAATAAATGCTTTCTGAATGAACCAAGGTTATAGGGAGCCCCAATAAGTCCAGCTGTGTGACTGGGACTGGACTTCCACCCTCTGCCCCTCCAGAGCAGACAAGGCTGCAGATGGACATCAAGCTCCAATGGGGGTCAGACATAGCCCCCCAAACCCTAAAAGGAGTAGCTCAGCACCAACCCCTTGGAAGCCACGAGGGAGGGAGGGAGGGGTGTGCAGGCAGCAGGACAGGACAGGCAGGCTCTCTATCCCCTGTAGGTGCCCCCAGTCCTCACCTTAGCACTGGTAATCACTCCATAGGGTGAGAACTCTTTTCTCAGCTTCTCATCATCAATGCAGTCATCTAGGTTCTTAACGTACAGGTTCACACCCTAGAAAGAAAGGTTATTGCTCAGTGTGTCCCTTCCCCTCCAAGCCCCAGGTAGCCTTGTGTCAGAGGCCAACGCAGGCCATGGTGGGGCCTGGAAGCCCTGGCCACCCAGCCTCCTGTTTCCAGTCTTGCATGGCACCCATGCCCCCCAATCACTCAGCGCGCCCATCCCCTGGAAGCTACAGCCACCGCCCCCCCGCCCCCCCTCTAAAGCCAAGTTCCCAGACGCGGGATTGCTGGAGGAAGGCTTCCCATTCAGGGCCCTCCACACACGGACACGCTCACTTAGCAGGGGGCTGTCACCTGGTAACGGGTCAGCCGGTCCTGCTTCATCTGCTCGAACCTGCGCTTCAGCTCATTCTGCCGTTCCACACGCTTCTGGGCCCGGCCCACGTACAGCAGCCGCCCGCTCACCTCCTTCCCATTCATGTCCAGCACAGCCTGGCCAGGGGAGGGGAGAGAGTCCTTGGTAACCACCTCCCCCCACCCCTCCCCCGGGGCCCTGGTCTCCAGTCCCAGTGTCCGGTCCTGAAGGGAGCCACCTGCAAGCTAGGCCAGCCTCGCTGGCTGAGAATAATTAGAACCAGGATAAAGGCCATTTAAAGTGAATCCACTTTTTGAAAACATGGCACAAAATTTCAGAGTAAACCACAGATAAAAAAATTTGGAGACGCCTGGGTGGCTCAGTCAGTTAAGCGTCTGCCTTTGGCTCAGGTCATGATCCCAGGGTCCTGGGATCCAGTCCCTCATCAGGCTCCTTGCTCAGCAGGGAGCCTGCTTCTCCCTCTGCCCGCTGTTCCCCCCTGCTTGTCCCCTCTCTCTCTCTGGCATATAAAATCTTTAAAAAATAAAATAAAAATAAAAAATTTGATTGGAGCTGTACTTTAAAAAGTGAAATTGAAATAAGCAAATTTCCCATATTTAACATTTAGGTTCTTAACTGTATCTACACCTGAGACTGCCATGTCCTAAATTGTCAGTGGCTTTCTCTTCTTCAAGACATGCAACTTCTCTTAATGCATTTATCCTGAACTGAATTTACATGGACTCATCTGCAAAAAATCAGCAAAAGGTAGACTCGTGTGTGTACCAGCTCAATGGTTAGGATTAGACACTAGCATTAGTGAGGAGAAATGTTTGAAAGGGGACTTTTTAAAGTAAGCTCTATGCCCAAAGTGGGGCCTGAACAAAAGGGAACTGACTTTTTAAGTGGTCAGCTAGTTAGTAAATATTTTCACATAGGGGCCTGGGTGGCTCAGTCGGTTAAGCATCTGCTTTCAGCTCAGGTCATGATCCCAGGACCTGGGATCAAGCCCCACATCAGGCTCCCTGCTCAGCAGGGGATTCTGCTTCTCCCTCTGCCCCTGCTCCCCACTTGTGCTCTCTCTCTCCCTCTCACTCACTTTAAAAAAAATATTTTCACGGGGAGCCTGGGTGTTAAGCGTCTGCCTTCAGCTCAGTTCATGATTCTGGGGTCCTGGAATCGAGTCTCGCATGGGGCTCCCTGCTGCTTGGGAGCCTGCTTCTCCCTCTACCTCTCTCTCTCTCTCATGAATAAATAAATAAAATCTTTAAAAAAATACAAAAATACTTTCACATAATAGTGACTTTAGCATCCCCCCCTAAACATGCAAATCCATGTAAACATACTCTCGGGCCCCAATAAAGTTAGTTCCACCTCAGTCTTAAAAGGTCGTTACCTGGGTTTTCTATTCTGTTCCATTGATCTGTGTGTCTATTTTTGTGCCAGTTCCATACTACTTTGATGACTACAGTTTGGGATTATTATTCAGCCATAAAAAAGAATGAAAGCTTGCCATTTCAAGGACATGGATGAAGCTAGAGAGTATGATGCTAAGCAAAATAGTCAGAAAAAGATAAATATCATATGATTTCACTCATGTGGAATTTAAGAAACAAAACAAATGAGCAAGGGGAAAAAAAGAGGGAGGCAAACCAAGAAACAGACTCTTCACTATAGAGAACTGATGGTTAGCAGAGGGGACGAGGGTGAGGGATGGGTGAAATAGGTTCATTAACACAGTATAATATTAGTTTCAGGTGTACGATATGGTGATTCAACACTTTCATACAGTAGCCGGTGCTCATTACAACAAGTGCACTCCCCAATCCCCATCACCTATTTAACAAGAGTTCATTTTTTATAGGTAATATTCCACTGAGCGTGTGTGTATAAGTATATACATACACACACACACACAGCCCACATCTTCTTTATCCATCTGTCAGCTGATGGACACTTGGGCTGATTCCATAATTTGGCTATTGTAGAGAATGTGGCTATAAACATCACGGTGTGTATGGAATTGTTTGGAATTGTATGGAATCACTATATTGTAGACCTGAAACTAATATAACACTGTAAAAAAAAAAAATGCACGCTTACAGAAAATAAATAAAAGTCATTGCCAAAGTCTCTAAGACCTTGGCATCTATGGATCCCTGAAGCTTCAGCCACCTATTCAACTTGTCATTTTACAGTTGAGAAAACCAAAGCCTAGAGAGAGGGTGGGATTTGTCCAAGGACACGCAAGAGGTCACCTTTGAAACGGGCCGTTTGCACTTAAGAACAAAGCTTCGATGTCAGAAAGAGCGGGTTCTAATCCCAGTGATGCCTCTTACCAGCTACACCCCTGGAGCACTTGGTGAAAACGGCCGAGCCCACGCTGGTGGAACAGAGAGGAGAGCGTATGCAGCCCTTAGCACAGTGCCTGGCCCCTGCTAAGTGCTCAGGGAGACGTGGCTGCCATCAAAGTGGCACTGGGCCAGATCTCTCTAGCCAGAATCCACAATGAGCTGAGATCCCCCGTGTCCAACGGTCTCAATGGGGCAGGAGCCTGGGAAAGAGCTTTAAGTGGAAAGCCAAATAGGAAAACATTACTCCAGCTCTGTCACGACGTGACCTCGTTCCATTCACTTGTTCAGCCAATAGGTATCTGGTATCTACTGGCAGGTGCAACACCAGAGATTTAGCTGTGAAATGAGACCCAGGCTCTACCCTCAGTTCTATACATGGAGATCTGTGTTACTGATGGAGAGAGGCAGAAGGGGTACCTCGCCAGAAGCATGAGGTTAGAAGAGGCTTCTCGGAGGAGGGAAAGTATAAGGGGAAACCCACAGGGTAAGCGCTAAGTTGTCTAAAGCCACACTGTCCAATATGGTGGTCACTAGCCACGTGGAGCTACTGAGCACTGGAACTATGGCTAGTCTGAGTTCACGTGCTGGGAGTACCAGATTTCAAAGAATTAATACAAAAAAAGGGGAATGTAAAATATCTCAATTTTTTTTATTGAATATACACTGGAGTGATAATTTCAATATGTTAAGTTGAATGAGACATTATTAAAATCAGTTTGTTGGTTTGTTTTTTTTTTTTTTACCCTTTTTAATGTGGCTGCTGGAAAATAATGTGGCTCCCATTATATTTCTATTGGACAGCACTCATCTAAGGAGCAAGAGAAGGGAAACATTTTGAGAAACAGCATTTGCAAAGACCTGGGAGCTAGGAATCACATAGCACTTCCCCTCCCCAGCCTCAGTCCCACCATCAATTCAAGAAAAGGGCCGTGGCTATCTCAAAGGCCCTTCCACCTCCCATGTGGGCAAGAATCTATGAAAAGCAGTCGGCCTTAGGGTTTGGAAGCACCCAAAGGAGGCTACAACCTTCTGCCTTTGCCACAGGCAGGAAGGGCCCTGACTGGTGTGGGCCCAGGCTGGGGAGGGACTTTCTTCTCCTCCGTGGCAGCTGGAGCCCCCTGAGCCTGATCTCTTTTCTTCCTAGTGCTGGCTTGGTGCCTCCTCCATGAAACAGAGCCATGGGGAGGCTCCTACCTTCTGGGCTTCCTCATGCTTCTCAAAGTTGACAAAGCCGAAGCCTCGGGAGTGGCCACTGTCGTCCCTCATCACCTTCACACTCAGCATCTTCCCTGGGAAGGGCCAACCTGGCTCAAAGGGGAGTTTGGGAAGCCCCAGGGTGTTCCCCTCCCTTCCCCCCCCCAACCCGCCCCCACCCTCTGGGGGCTTGAGACTACTTAGTGCTGCCCCCTGCTGACTCATCAGGAAGCCCCCAGAAAGGCTGCCCCTCCTCCTAGCCCAACCTGGGGATAGAGGACAAAGTGATCCCTGATTCCCTTGGGGAACACACCCACCAAACTGGGAGAAGAGGTCCTGCAGGCCCTGCTCATCCACGTCCACATGGAGGTTCTTCACATAAATGTTGGTAAACTCCATGGCCCGAGCTCCCAGCTCTGCTTCCCGCTCTCGTCGGGACTTGAAGTGGCCGACGAAGCTGTGGACACACTGACGGGGTAGGCAGCCGCCAGTCCTCCGCCACCCCCATCCCACCCGGCAACCCTGGGTCACTGGCATCAATTGTTGCCAGCCCCCAAGGCCCCTGTATCCCGAATCGGGAGGCTGGGCAGGGCAATACTCTTTAGATGGACTACAGTCAAGGCCGGACCACTTCCAACAGCCAAGATTCTATGTTCTAGCATAAGGTTAGGAAGAGTTCGTTCTTGGGGCAAAGGCACAGGGAACTCCTACCATACACCAGGCAGCTGAGTGTGCAGGAGAGAAGAGCAAGCATGAACTTGAGAGTCATACAGATGAGGGCCTGAATCCTCACGCTGCAGTTGCCTAGCGGTGTGACCCTGCGCAAGTTACTTAACCTCTCTGAGCCTCAGCGTTCATTCCTATAAAACGGGA